TGTACTGTTTAGAGATCCTTAACCAAGGACCTCTGTTATGCCAACCAGAAACTCAGATCCAAAGATTGATGCAAGGATTTTTCTCACAATTGTACAGCTCAAGCAAGCCATATGTCTTACCTGAAAATTGGCAATCAATCATTGTTTCTAAGTGCCCCTAGCAGGCTCTTCTGACTACTCCCCTAGCTGTCAAATTTGTGTGTGTGGACTCTGGGATCATCTGAAGAAAGTCCCTGCTCTTAAGTGGATGGCAGAACCCTCCAGGGACCTCAAGATTCATCTAGTACAGACCCAGAAGCAGCTGACATCCAGATGAGAGAGCTATCCCAAGATTTTGGATGAGGGCTGTGTATACTGTGCTAGGTTTTTTTTTCCTCTTCCCTTTTGTTACGTTCCCAACCACTAAGGCCCTGATTCAAGCGTGTGTTGGTATTTTCTCCCTCTACATCATTGGCCCCCCCTCTATTTTCTGCTTTCAGGCAAACAGTGGCTAGCAATGATAACTGGGTCACACTTCCCCAATAGGTCTCCTCAAAGAACTGACCTGATATAAAAATGCTCATTCTGGCCCAACCAGCTTCTCATATCTTGGTTTATACCTGCCTCTCCTTTAGAAGGGTAGCAGTTCTTTCAGACCACCTCCCTTTGGCCAAAAGAGAGAAATATCAAGATATTAGGAGACACCCTGTTTTCCAAAGATAAGGCCCAGCTAGCAACCTATGCCCTGAGCTTGGCATAACAACAATCCTTTGCGTTCACCCTCTGGATGATCTCACTTTCTGCCAAAATAATATCATTATAGTATTTCTTTGACCAGCACCAGACGTTCTCTGAGCTGGGACAAGCACCTCTTGTGTCCATGTTCTGGTCATGAAGTCCTGCTATGAATCAAACTTGTCACATTGTTGCTATTACCCCTCATTGTCAGGGCTACAGTTCACTACACGGTCACTGGTATAAGTACTGAGATATCCTCACAGGAAAGCAGGTCCCCCTACTAGGGGCAGGGCTCCAGCACAAGAGTCTTTGCTTGCAATCCTTTATCCTCACTTTGAAATTAAACTTCTGTTTGATTCCTGACTCTCCTGTCTCTAGCCTGCTCTTTTTGGCTTCTGCCACCCACAAGTCAGAGGCTGGTTACGTTCGGATGACACTGGATAGAGTTTCTTCTTATTTTTTGATGAATAATACAGTGGACAGACCATGGACACTGAAATAAGAAGGCTTCAGTTCAAATGCCAACTCTGACAGTACCTTTGTGACTTTGGACAAGTCACAACTCACTTCTTGGAGCCTCAGATTCCTCCATAATATAAGGGGGTTGAATCAGGTGATCTACAAAGTTCCTTCCAGCTTTAAATCTGTGATCTTTTGTGTTAAGTTCTTCCAACCTCTTAACGCTGATTTTGATTCCCCTCTGCTTCTTCAGAATTTTTTTTTCTGATTTACTGAATTATTCCTTTCACCTGAGGGATGCTTCTTCCCTAACAATTCATTTTTGAAATATTTTAGATAAACTGCCAGTTTTCAAAGACCTAGCTATATCACTCACCTAGAAAAGTGTACAGCTTTTTAGATAAAATGACACTTCAAGTGTGATTGAAAAGAAGAGGAAATGAAAATTTGTTTTCCATTCCCAAATTTCAAGCTACAGGATATACTAATTTATGAGCTAGTATATAGCATAATATTAGCATACTATATTATACACTAATATACTATATATTGTGTGCTATATTATATTATCATACCATATTATATATTATTATAAAGGATATAATAATAAGATAAGATTAATCATATATTGAGAGGAATGGTTTAATGGAGATAGCATTAGCCTAGTAGTCAGGAGGTCTTTGGTTCTGTTCCCAAATCTGAAACTCCTACCTTCATAGTCTCATTTTGTTATTTTGTTTTGTTTTGTTTTGTTTTTTTTCTTTTGACTTGACCTAGGATTTCAACTGTGTGTGGAGGTCTTGGTGAAGAATTTCCACTACTAATTACAGATCAGTACCTTTTCTGCAATTCATAGTCTTAGAGAGTAGTCTGGCACACGTAAGTGGGTAAACCACTTGTTCAAGGTCACATGGCCAATATGTTTCTTGAAGTATAATAAAGATCATGGACTTAGAGCTGAAAGGGATCTTGGAGGTCATAGTCAAACCCTCACTCATTTTACAGATAAGTACAGTAAAAGCTAGAGGAGTGAAGTGATTTACACAAAGTCATGAAGGTAGTAAGAGAAGGAACCAGTAATCAAACCTGGGTCCTTTGCTCCCTTCCCAGGGGTCATTAAATACCATATTTATATTTTTGTTCAAGGCAATTTGTTTTTGTTGTTGAATGGTTTCAGTCCTGACTCTCTATGACCACATTTGGCAATAGGGAGCCACTAAAAAGTTTTGGAAAAATAGAAGTGGCTTCAGTGGCTAGAGCCTTGGACTTGGAATCAGAATGACCTGAATTCAAAAATGACCTCATACTAGTGGCAAGTCACTTAACCTAAGGCAAGTCTGCCTCAGTTTCCTCATCTGTAAAATGGGGCTAATAATAACTATCTCCCAGGGTTGTTGTGAGTATAAAATGAAATATTTGTAAAGTGCCTGGTACACAGTAGATGCCGAATATATGCCCATTGATTAGCTGCCATCACAGATTTGGAAAAGTAAGAAGCTGTACAATTTCAAAAATATTCGTATTTGTATCACAGGCTGCCTCATTGTTTTATTTTGTTCTGTTTAGTTGTTTAAATTGAATTCATAGTATTGTATCCCTCCCCAAGAAGACTAAAAAGAAATGGAAAAGATGCCTCCAAGGAGAAAACCCCAAGTTCAACGGATTTTCTCCTGATTAGTAGCTTATTCCAGGAAGCTGTCACATTGCCTGCCTGCAGCGTAGTGGAAAGAGTCCTGGATTTCAAATCCAGCCGTGCTGCTCATATATTCCATTAGCTTGTGCAAGTCACCACAACATCCACCCCCCACCCCACCTCCGCTCCGCCCCCCTCGAGGAAGCTTCGACTCCCTCATCCATAAAAAAATCAGAGGTTGGACTCAATGACTGAATGCTAAGTTCCCTTCCAGATCCAGATTCTATGATTTCCCCCTAATTGAGCCTTCGGAGATTGCTCTCTTCACCTCCCTCCACAAAAAATAATAATAATTAATAACAATAACAATAATAGCGTGACAACTCCCTGTTTAAAAAAAAATCTTTGGGAATGACTAGCAGACAGCACCTCAGCACCGCCCCCTCCCAAAGCCCCCCCAAAATGAAATAAGCAGACGTGCACTGTCAGGTCAAGGAAATCCCAGGGAGTTCCGAAGTTTGCTCTGCCACCGAGCAAGCGTCCTGAAAGAGCTGCAGACGCTGGCCTGAAGGCCACTAACCAGGACGGGCAGCAAAGGGCGAGGGACCCGCGCCCGCCTTTCCACCTGGGCCATTCCACTTTCTGAGGGTAGAGGTCGCCACGCAAGGGGTCTTTTGAAACCGCTAAGCCCAGTTACTGGGGAGCCAAGGCCGGAGAAGGCAAGAAAAGTTCTTTCCGTGGGTGGGGGGTCCACGGACACCCACTCCCTGGACTTAGGAGCCCCGGGTTTCTTCTTCAGCCAATTTCCCGAAGGCCTGATGTGTACAAATGCAAACCACGGGCTGGAGGGGATGGTTGTCTACCTGGTCTCCCTTCCATTCCAGTCCACTGTGCTCCCATCAAAAAACCATCTTTACATTACAAAAGCCAACCTACTCTTACCAAAGCCGGAAACGCCTGCACGAGGTCCCACTGCCCTGGCATTTCTGCCCCCACCCCTAGGTGGCAGGTCCCTCGCGCCCACTTGCTACCTGCAGCAGGTAGGAGCTGTCAGAGCTAGGTAGCCGAACCTACCTGCTTCCCTGCCTGGTTTTCCCCAGATGTGGCCGCCCGCTGCAGCTGCCTCTGCTGCTCTGCCAGACTGCGAGCAAGTTGTTCCTAGCCAGGGGAGGTGCGCGCTTCCGAGCCGCAGTGGAGGGAGGGGAGGATGGAGGGCGGAGGGCGGGGGATGGCTGGGGGTGGAGGGATGGAGAGATAGAGCAGAGACAAGAAAGGAGCGTGAATTGGGAGGTCAGCGGTCACCTCTAACCCTCAGAGCGCCAGATTGCCGCCCGCGGTGATGTAGGAGGTAAGGGTGGAAGGGGACATCTTCCCTGGGAAGACTGTAATCCCAGGCTGCTGAGCCTTGAGAACCGCTCGGATTCCCTGGGGTAGGAAAGGCAGGAGAGGGAAGGGTAGCCCCATCTCCTGCTCTGAGCAACCAGTGGAGTACATGTGCAAAGCTTGTCCACTCACCCCTTATGCAGAGGTGTCTCTTCTCTTCGGTCAAAGACAGGAGCCAAAGGAGGGAAGAAAAAAGAAAAGAAAGGAAAAGAAAAGAAAGGAAATTAAAATTTTTTCAGTAATGGACTGACTCACTTTCAAAGCAACAACCTGCCTGTGTGTCTCCCTTTTTCTGTCTTCCCCAGCTCTGCAGTGTGCCTGGTTGGCCAACTTTAGATCTAATCTAAAAGGAGGGGCATGAAAGGCAACTATGTAGAAAATTGAAATTCATAGATAAACGGAGCCCCAAATCCCCATTTTAGTCACTAGGCTCAGCCTCTTTCCCTAGTCAACCCCATCAGGGCTGTCAACAAACCATCAAAACCTAGGGGTTAACATTTTATCTCCTATTATTTCCCCCACCCCCTTACAGGCAGAAATACTAATACACAGTCAGATGAGGATGCAACAGCAGCCCCACCTCCACCCCATAGAAGAAACAAGGTAGACAGACAATTAGTGATGGAAAAATGGGACATTCCTGCTAGGAAAAAAAAATATAAACTGACATTTATGTAAATGTGCCTGTGTGTGTGTGTGTGTGTGTGCGTGTGTGTGTGTGTGTGTTCATAGGAACCTTGTGAGTAGGTAGTCACAGCCCTGTACACAGGGTGGCAAGGCACATTTAAATGCCTTCCCTCAATGGATATTTTATGTCTTATTTTTGTTTTAAGTAAATCTCAGTTAATTTTTAAAAATTCTGCTTAGTTAGGTTCTGCTTTCTTTAATTTGTTTAATGAATAAAAATGTTTTATAATTGAATATTCAATAAACATTCACCTTTTAAAAAACAAAAATAAATAAAATTCCCTGGCTGCACACTCTAATCAAATATGCCTTGCACACCTAGATGGGTAGTACAAACACTATCAATCCCATTTTACAGATTAAGGAACTCAGAGTTTAAATGACTTGCCCAAGGTCACAAAGCTGATCCACAGCAAAGTCTCCAGAGTCCAAACCCAATATCCTTTCCACTCTGTCATAGTTCCTTCTCCATAAAACAATGTAGCCTATTCTCTCTTCCACTTCCATCTTTCTCTTTCTACTCCCGGTGTTGCAATGTGATTTGCAGGAAGTCAAAGAATCATAGTCTGTCTTTCCATAATGTAAATTGTGGACATTATGTACCAATGGCTTTTTTTTATATTCCTGTTTGATTAGAATAGATTGTGCAGCTCTGGTCTTATTACGCTCTCAGTTCCTTTAATCAATAACCCAATACTAGACAACTCCTCAAAATACTCATTTTCTTTTTTTTCTTTAAATTTGTATTGGTATCTTTCAAATTTACACCACCTTTATTTCCCAACATATCCCACCCCCATACAGAAAACAATCCCTTAAAATAAAGAATAAAAAAGAAAAAGAAGCCAGTTAGGCAAAACTAACCAATTCACCAAATATGCCCAAAAGTATGTGTAGTGCTTTGTAGTGTAGTGTGGGAATGTCAGGGATGGCCAATGACCTTCATATATCCATAGTCCACCACCTCTGCAAAGAAGAGAGGGAAGTATAGCCTCTAATCTCTTCAGGATATTACAATTGGACATTATGATTATATGCCATTCAGTTTCAATTTTGTCGTTCCTGCTCTTTCCATTTACATGGTTGTAGTCATTCTATATATTATTGTTCTTCATTTTGCATCAGTTCATCTATCTTCTCATGTCTCCCTATAGTCTTCATGTTGATCATTTCCTGTGGTGTAGTAATATACCATTATGTTCACTTGCCACAATTTGTTTAAGCCATCCCCCAAGTTAGTGGACATCTGCTTTTTTTCCAGTTCTTTTTTACCACAAAAAGTGTTACTATGAATATTTTGGTATATATTAGACCTTTTTATCTTTTACATCCTTGGAGCATATGCCTAGTAGTGAAATCATTTGGTCAAAGGGCATAAACATTTTAGTCACTTTTGTCCCATAATTCCAAATTGCTTTCTAGAATGGTTGGATCAGTTCACAGCTCTGACAGTAATTAGCATGTCCATCTTTCCACAACCCTTCCAATAACAACTATTTATTATATAAAATATTATAGATGAATATTTGCCTCTTTTGTCATTTTCACCAATTTTCTATGTATGAGGTAAGTATCTTAGAGTTGTTTTGATTTGCATTTTTCTTATTAGTAGTGACCTGGAGCAACTTTTCATGTGGTTATTAAAAGTTTGCAATCCTTCGTTTGAGAACTGTTTATTTATATTCTTTAAACACTTATCCCTCAGGGAATGGCTTTTGGTCATCTATTTTGGAAATCAGAATCTTAGCAGATATTCCCTTCTAATATGAGTTACATTAACTTTGATAGTGCAAAGGCTTTTCAATTTCATGCAATTGATATTCTATTTTATCTTTTGTGAGTGTGTCTGTGCCTTACTAAACCATTTATTTTTGAAGAGATTATTTTGGATTAATCTTGAGGAAGTTCTCAAAGTCCCACTTAGTATAAAAGCTTTTACAAATGGTATTTTCAGCATGTGTTTACACCCTATTTTCTCATCCCCATCTCTTTCCTTTTAAATATTGAGTCATATGTGTATAGAACTTATAATTACAATGTCATTTCTTCCATGATCACATTTCAATTCAACAGAACAAATATTATTTAAATGTCTGCTCTGTGCTAGGCACTATGCTAGATGCTAAGGATACCAAACTAAAAATGTGATGGTCTTGGTCCTCAAGGGGCTTATTCTACTGGAGAGATACAATGGGGTAAGTAAAGGAGAGATACACAAATAAATAAATTCAAAGTAATTTTAGGGCAGAAAGAAACAGTCGATTCATCATGTCCAATTCTATGTGACCCCATTTGGGGTTTTCTTAAGATACTGGAGTGATTTGCCATTTTCTTCTCCAGCTCATTTTATAGATGAGGAAACTGAGGCAAACAGGGTAGGATGACTTTCCCAGGGTCACACAGCTAGTAAGTGTCTGAGGCTGGATTTGAACTCAGGTCTTCTTGACTCCAGGCCTGGAGTTCTATCCAGTGCACCACGTTGCTGCTCCAAAAAGAACACTAATGAGTGGAAATAACAGCAAATTATTCGTGTAGGAGGTGGCATCTAAACTGAGAACTGAAGGAAGCAGGGTGATCACCTATACAAAGGCACAGAGATAGGAGGTGGCATGATGAGTTCCTGGAATATTTAGTCAACCAGATTGACTAAAACAAATAATGTGTAAAGAGGAATGATAAGGAATGTCTGGAAAGATAGGTGGGAATCAGATTGGAAAGGGTTTAAATACCATGTCAAGCAGTTTGCATTTATCCTAGAAACAAAAGGTTTTGTATAAGGGGGTGACATATTGAGAGTTGTCTTTTCAAAATATTAATTTGGTAGTTATGTGTAGGATGAATTGATACTGAAATTAATTGGAAATAGAACAATTAGGAGGCTATTACAATAAATCAAGTGAGTAGTGATAAAGACTTGCGTCAAGGTAATGTGCCTGTTGAACGGAGAGAAGGGGATGGATGGGAGAGGTAGAATACAACTAGAATCACAAAAATAAAACTTAGCAACTATTAGAATATAGGAGAACATAAAGGCAAAGTATGTGGAAGAGTGAAGTATGACTCCAAGGTTGCAAACTTTAGCAGTGGAAAGATAATGATGCTTCATCAGAACTAGTGACTTTGAGGAGAGTGATGGTTTGGAAGGGAATATAATGAGTTTAATTTTGGCCATGTTGAGACACCAGCAGGCAGTTGAAAATGAAAGCTGAGTTCAAAAGAGAAATCAGGACTAGATCTACATATCTGGGAATCATCTGCATAAAGCGGATAATTGAATACAGGGGAACTGACCAAATCACCAAGAGACAGATTGTAGAGAGAGTTCAGGACAGAAGGTTGGGGGAGAAGGAAAGACACAATCCTGGGTGGGACACAGAACAAGGAGGCTAGGAAAGAGCAGTCAACAGGTAGGAGACCCAAAACAGAATCACAGAAACCAAAGGAAGAAAGAATATCTAAGAAGAGGAAGTGGTTTTTAACAATGTTAGAAACAGCAAAGAGTCCAAGGAGAATGAGGAGAGAGAAAAAGCCACTGGACTTAGCAGTTGGAATATTGTTGGTAACCTTGGAGAGAGAAATGCCTGAGGAATAGATTACAAGGGTTGAGAAATGAGTGGGAGATGAGAAAATGGAAGTACCATGGATACCACTCTCTGGGAGTTTGGGTGTGAAATGGAAAAGAGAAAAAGTGTGAAGACATTCAGGATGAAAGAGAGTTTGTCCACAACAGAGTGCATGTTCTGGATTCAATGAAATGGAAGGGTTCAGGAGGCTATTAATTGTGATAGATGGAAAGGGATGAGGGTACAAGAAAATACGGGGGGGGGGGGAAATTTCCACCTCAGTAGATGTCAATTCTGAATCACAAATAAAAGGTCATTCACAGTTCCATGAATCTGAGACCAGAGAGCTTCTGCCCTTTGCAGGAGGCATGCATACATACTTATGTAGGAATTTTTGAAAGACTCTGGAAAGACAGAGACAAAAAACAGTAGATGCATGTGACCAAGTGCCAATGTTACTTGAGAACCCCCAGCTGAGAGAATTGTTAAATTGACCTCTTCTCTATCCTTTACTCACCCTGACTCTCCAGTTCTGGCTGCTGACAGATTCAATGATTTTGGGGGCAACTCCAAAATGCTTCAGGTCTCTAGGATCCGTGATGCCCATGAGTATGCCCAAGATTTCAATTGAGAATGATCACAAGAGTCTTCATCTTGATAGCATTGTAAGGTCTA